TTCTTCCCGCTTAATAATCCACAATAAATCAGATCACATTCTGAAGCCGAAGTTAGTCTAAACAATAATAATAATTAAGAATTCAGTCCGTACCGCGAAGAAAACACAACTCTTCACCATAGCAAAGATCAACTCGTTAACGCGGTTTAAGGAAACGGTCGCTGTTTACAGTGAGGATTGTATGAAGCCCTAAATGCAAAATGAAGAGTTCCCCACTGTTGAAGCAGGTGGTACATACGGTTACCACTGGGTTCTCACTGACCTGATATAGGCTGTTCATATTACTTCAACATAATCATGAATTTGCAAGTTTCGAAAGTTTCAGAACTACGAGTATCCGAAGGCAAGAGCTACTTTCGTTCCCAGCTCAGAAGTACGCAATGTTCAATGACAGCTGCGTACAGAACCAAGATAGGACAAACGACATTCCCAGCGTTGGGGCTGCCTTAAGCGTTCAGTGCCCAGTGCTCCAACAGTCATTTTCAAACACGGGTTTCGCACGATTCTCGCTGTAAACAGCGATTATTTCCTTGAAACAGCGTTAACCAGTTGATCTCTGTAATGGCGAAGAGTTGCGGTACGGACTGAATTCTTAAATACTGTTGTTTCGAAGGAGTTTGGCTTCAGATGGCTCAAACCGGGTTGGTTGGCGTTGGCGCAGCTGGCCAGAAAACACGGGACGCACGTGTGGGTGCAAACCGGAAATCCAGATGTTGCGCCACCGTGGTCTGTTTATCGCAACATTCTCTGCTCTTTGCACTGTAAAATCTGCGTGTGGGTGGCATCCCAAGTCCCGATCCTATCACGTGTAAAAATATCCACGTGGCGGTGTCAGTGCGCTGAGGCCGACAGAGAAGATGAACTTACTGAAGGCATATAAAGCGGGAAAACGTAATTTAGAACTCAGTGCATCGGCTGCCCCATGGAGCAGTCATCCTTGAGACGCCGACCGTCGCTCATGTAGTCAAGAAATACCCTGCCTTTTATGGTTTCATTACCGTGTTCACAAAATCCCGCCACCGGTCCTTCTCCTGCGCTAGATAAATCCAATCCTCACCCTCCCAACGTATTTCTACGTCTCGATGTGTTCCTCACAAATTAACGCTCCGTAATGGCAGACTTCCGACGGACTCGCGCCGAGTGGTTCGCACCCCGCTTCTTATTAGGAAGGTCGAGGGTCAAATCTCGACTCGGAGACCGACGGCCGTGACGGATGAGTTTCGTAGCTTTCGTCACTAGATAAGGCATCTTAAACTAAGTCCTTCCAGTTTATTCATTACTCATGAACCTTCCTGTACCGTCGGAGCTACTCACAGCGTGCTGACGTAAAAAAGGAAATAAATGTTGCGCTTCAATGCGTGTGTTACGCAATACGCATGTTTGGAGAGAGAGTTCTTCTTGCTCATGATGTGTCCCAGTCTGGAGCATCCAAACCCTCTTGTTTGGAGAGAGAGTTCTTCTTGCTCAGGAGCATCCAAACCCTCCGCTTTAATCTAGTGCACTGACGTCATTGAAAGTTATGCCATCCCGCGTATCCTGACAATCAAAGTTTCCGGAATATTAAGATATTACTGTTGTTATGTTCTGACACTTCAATTATCCACCGGAGTCATCGGAAAAGCAGAGGGGGGAGAAGCCTACTGCAAGGCGTTCGTTCGACTCAGTGTTGTGCCAAGGTCTTGCTGATAAACGCGCAGTTCGTTTACGAGCAGTTAAAACAGAACAACAACCGCGGGTCATTCTCTTTTTTTATCTTTATGGTCTCTTATGTTGTTTATAGACGTGAGACGTCAGCGCCCCCCCCCCTCCCCAAGCTCTCGGTCCACCAGAAGATTTTAAAACAATTCTTAGGCCTCAATCGACTCTCGGAGCTTCTGGGGACCGTCTGGTGTTACACGGGCGACAGACCACGTTCTGGGCCGACTGAACTCACAGCACGTGTCGGAGTCACCGCAGAAAAACCTAAAATCCTGCTTTTAGTTTAAAGTGGTCTTGTGTTCTGTTCGTTATGTCCTGTTAATATCACGTCCAATTAACCATTTGCGTGATTTTCCTTTCTTTCGACTCACTGCAGTGTTCATTTTTGAAGAGAGGGGTTCAACCCTGAAGATGTACGCGTAAAGTTCCTCCGTAACGGTGGTAACCACCAACAAGACAACACCAGAGACGGTCGGATGCCTTTGCTCTAGTCACGTGGTCACCTGCTGACTAATGGCGATTAACATTTGCAGCAGACAAATGAGGCTTGAGTTCAGACACGCACAGTGATTGCGAATCTAGGTTACTATGAATGAGAGCGATGAGGGTTAGGGAGGGGGGGGGATGATCGCTCTGCTTCAAGGGCGACAGACGTCTGCTGCGTGGCCTGTAGCTGGCAAGAAGAACTGCTCACCGCTGTCAAAGAACACGGCGTGGACCAACAAAACCAAACGTTGCGAAGTCAAGGACGTCGAAGAGATGTGAATGAACCGCGGGAGCGAAGTGTCTGGGGCGCCCTGAAGACCGATGAAGCTAGCAGCGAGCGAGCGGCTTGGAATTGTTGCCCAAGCAGAATACGTACGAAGCATGAAAAAGTCCAGACCCACACAGAATATTTTGATATTGAACGTTATTCGCATATTTAATACACAGCCGTGGACTGCGATGAATTTCCTATCCAAAACATGGCGTGTCAGTGTCTCACTCGCGGGAGGCCACGTCTGAGAGAACACCCAGGTGTTACACCCAAAGTAATGCCAGTGACGACTCGACAAACGTATTGGTCATGTAACGTCGATTGGTCTGACATCTACGAAGGTCGATTTGGAAAGGACACGCGAGTAGTCGTGGTATTTTTTGTTGTTACAAACATCATTTTAAATTCGCCGAGACACAATCACCGGGGTGTGACTGTCAGATCATCTTTTTCCACTCTGCTCTTGGCTCATGGATACCGGGACAAAGGGGCTGGAGCTTAAAGGTCAGATGCCGACGTTAATGCGAGGAACTGCAACCTCCACTGCTTCATACGTCTTCATGGCGTGTTGCTTGCCTGATCACAGGGGCAGAACACCTCAAGTATCGACGTAATCTGCAACTAGGCAGGTCCCATATGTCGCCTTGTATGATTGCTGACACTGCATCCAGACAGTCACCAAACGGTGCAACAATATTCACAGTAGGACATGAAATCCCAACCTCACCGTCCCCGTGAATGCCTTTTGATTCATGATGACTGGTGAATGAGATGCCGCTGTGACAAACTTGGCGTGTTTTCAGGTTCTTAAGTGAGCGCGTGTTTATAAACGAAGAAAAATCCTAAAACCAACTAAAACATGTAGTCTACAAAGAAATCGATCTTCATTGTCGACTCTCAAGGTGTAAGCGAACCATTTATTTACTGCAGCAGAGAACATATTTCATGATAATCTTAACTACATGTGTAATATAATTACAGCTCGCAGCAGAGAGAGAAGATTAACGCCGTCTCTCTCGTGGTCTGGTGCCACATAACGCTGCTGGTAAGCCAGCGGGCCGACTACATCAGCACGAATTTCGCACCTCCATATCCGTATATGCGTGCTTACAGAACGTTTAGACCTAAATTATATTTTTTTTAGGATCAGATAGCTGACGTCTTGCAGGAACGCATGCCTTGCTGCAGCCGTTCAAAACTCCGCCCCCTCTGACATTTGCTTGTAGAAAATAGATTTCATCCAGGCATGTGCTGCGATAATGTTAATGGTTTAGCGGGAATTACTTTCGTATGTTAGAATTTCATAAGTTTAACATAACCCGTCTCACTGGCAACGCGTGGAACGTCAGGACTTGGGGTTATTCGTCTTCCGGGCGCTTCCGGTATACG